CCCCCCCCGCCATCACCACCGCAGCTTCTTTGCATCAGGGGGCCCCATAATTATATCTTGCAGGGGGTCCCAAAAAATTGTGGGCTGGCCCATAATATATATATAATAATAATAACATTGAAGGTTAGCTTTAGCAGAAGCATAAAAGATAGTAAAATGTATTCAAGAGATTGTTTTGGTATTGTAATGCTGAAGATAATGATCCATACACATTTTATAAAAAAACATTCCTTTTAGAAAAAGAGATCCATAGGTCAAGTAAATTCATATAAAGTATTTATTCACCTTAACTGTAAGATGTTTGGCAGAGAGGTCACACCGCTCTTTTAATACTGTGCCAGCTGAAGGTTGTAAATGTGATCTCAGTAAATTTAAGATGATCAAAAACCTTTTGCTACTTCCTTACAGATGACAATCATGATCATGGGCTGATTGATTTAGGTCCTTAGAATGTGTGGCTGACTTCACTGCCTTATTCATGACATAACTTCACGTACTTGTTGTGCATCACATCCTCAGTGTTATTTGATGTTTTGGAGCAATGTACTAGTTCAGAACACAGCACTGTGTACATATAATTGAGATTATTTTTCCCCCAAGTGCATTACCTTGCACTTGTCAGCAATGAAGTTAATCTGCCATTTTTTTGCCTGCTCACTTAAGATTGGTGAGATATTTTTGCAGCAACTCTGTCAGCTTGGGATTTGCCCACCCTGAGTCAGGAGAATCTTGAGATACTGACTCACAGAACAAGATATGCTTTACTCTTGCTCCAAAACAAGAAGCGATAAAGAGGCATTGAGCTGCCAGGACCCTTCAAGGATGGTTTGTCCTTATTTGTAACAGAGACTTTAAATACTCTTATTTGAATTACAGTGTATTGTGTTTACTCCAGCTGGATGATTTGGGTTTGTTTCTTTTTCTTTTATGGGTTTGGCAACTGGAAAATTTGCTGGAAAATGTGGCTTCTGAACCTAATGCAAATTCAACCTGAATTTGCCAAATACACAGGTCTTTAACAATCTGGGTGAGGTCTCCAACCCCCAAGCTACCGGGTAAAAAGGCAGGATCAATCAGCTCTTGTGAAGTCTACTGCAGGCCAAACCATTGTTAAGGGCCCCTTACAGATTGGGAATGTAGCCAGCCATTTCTTTTGCTTTTCTTCAGTGTGGTTTATCTTAAACTCTTTTTTAAAGTTGTGTTTTGGTTTGTCTGCCTACTCAAAATATCAGTCATTCACACATTGACAGTGCTCTGACTCCTGTCCTGGAGATTCTCCAATGCTTTCACTCTATGAACAGTTTATGAAGAGCAAGCTCCTCCCCAAAACCCAGTCCTTGCTGTTTGGTTTTAAAAATGCTTCACTCTGTATTGCATTGGGAAGAGTCTCCTCAGACAGGTTTGAGCACTTTCCCTCTTTACTATGCTTTCTTTTCCCCTTCTTTAGAAGCACCTGCCTCCCCATTAAATGCTGCAGTAAAGAATACATCATTCATAACTTTTTTAACAGTTACCACTGGAGTCAGTTACTACCAACCATTGCAATATGACAGGGGTACTAATCTTTTTTGGAACCTTAAGCCATGTCTGATGACTGGAGCCAGGAAGTAAAGTTCAGTCTCTTAAAAGCACTTCTGTGTGTCACACCTTTATTACAGCTTTGCTTCCAGCCTACTACTGTGTGGTCATTAGCCTTCTGTGTTATATTATTTGTTTACTAATAGAATTGTCATGGCTCATTTTCATTTAAAATAGTTGCTTATCTTGTCTATGTTTTTAACTGGGGGCAAAGTTCTTGTTTTTGTGCCTCAGTTTCATTCATGATGTTTCTATCATTTAGACAAGGAAACGTTTTTCTTTACATCTTGTTTTAATATTAAGTCTTATAACTTTAAATGGGTTAGTTAAAAATCTACTGCCAGTTAAAAAACTATCCTCATTTTGACCCCATAGGTTCACTACTAACTCATGTACAGCATGGGAGGTGAAATCCTCACCTATGCTTCAGACCACTTACATGAGGGAAACAGGCCGGAAGCAGGATAAAGGTGATCAAAAACACAGGGAATCAGGGTAGAGGAGAATTCCCTTGGTGCAAAGACTGAGGAGAACAACCATAGGTTGGTTTTTGAGGGCTCCCTCAAAAGACTCTGGGGTGCCAGGGACTGCATATACTAACCATGAAAATTATGAGCAGTATGGCTGCTCATAGAACAGTTTAGGAAGGCTGCCATAACTTAAAACAGGGCTTTGTAAATTATGGGGGAGGGCAAAGAGGGGCAATCCAACCCCTAGAACAGCCTTATACTGGGAGTGTGCAAATGTAACATAAAACCACTTTAGCGCCCTTCTCTTCTACCCACACTCCACTTCTGGACTACAAGTTATGTGATGCACCTCTTAGATGCACCTCTTAGAACATTTCACCCAAGGGACCTATTGCTTCACTTCTTGTGGAGTCACTTCATAGTTGTACAGAGGATGTAAAATGCTGCTAAATCAGAATGGCAGACATGTATGTGCAAGATGTAGTTAGTAGAGAATTAAGCTCTAAGAGCCACGGAGTCGTTACCAATTTACTTGTTTTCTCTGTGCCTCAGCCTTTGATGGGAAAAGTTCCCTCTAAAACTAAGAGCAGTATCATAGCTGAGTTTTCCTAAAGAAACAAGTTACCCATAAAATATTAGCACATTTTTTTCTTTAAATTTGGCTGCTCAGTTATCTCAATAATCATAAACCAATGCATAATAAATCCTAATTAAGCCATCTTTTTCACTGTCATGCACCAGCACAACAGAATTGCTGTTACACTCTCAGCAGTTTTATTTATACATTGTGACGCATCAAAAGCTGGGTCCTGTATTTGTGTTCTGTAACTTTTTTTTCTAAAAAAATAGTTGTACCTCCAAAACCTCCCCCCATGTAGCTATTTACCTATATTTTTGTTACCCCTGACTCAGTAATATTGGAATACTAAACAAATCTTCTAGTTGGAAACCCAAATTTAAACAATGATCTAAATAGTTTCCTTTTATTTGGTATCAGCAGTTGTTATTATTCTGTAATAATAGTTGGGAAAAAAGGGTTGTGTAGGTGGAAAAAATGGGTTCAGTCCTTCCAAAATCAATAGAAATCAAAGAAGGTATGTCTTGAGTAACAACCCCCCTACCCCCGCCCCCCCCCCCC